GTAGTCAAAGGGTTCAATCAGAGAAAGGGTATTGATTTTGATGATATTTTCTTTCTGGTTTGGCAGTCAACCTTGATCTAGAGGTTGAACAGATGGATGTCAAAACATCTTTCCTTCATGGTGACTTGGATAAAGAAATCTACATGGAGCAATCTGAAGGTTTTCAGGTTAAGGGAAAAGAGGGCTATGTGTGTAGACTTCAAAAGAGTCTTTATGGGTTGAAGCAAGCACCAGGACAACTGTACAAAAAGTTTGAGTCAGCTATGGGAGAGCAAAATTATCGAAAGTCTACTTCAGACCATTGTGTTTTCTTCCAGAGGTTTGGTGATGATGATTTCATCATTTTATTATTATATATTGATGGCATGTTAATTGTTGGCGAGTGCGGAAAGAGTTACTTAGCTGAAGATACAATTGAGAAAGTCTTTTGCTATAAAAGACTTGGGGCTAGCAAAACAGATTCTTGGCATGTCACAGGAGCAATACATCAAGAAGGTGCTTCGCAGATTCAACATGGATAAAGCTAAAGAGGCCAGTTCTTCTCTTACTACAAACTTCAGGTTGACAGATAAAGATTGTCCATCTTCTGAGAAGAAGATTGAAGAGATGGATAGAGTCCCTTATACCTCAACTCTATTGAGCTTGATGTATGCTATGGTGTGCACAAGACCTGATATTTCCCATGCACTTGGCGTTGTTAGTCGTTTTCTGTCAAATCCATGTAAGAAGCATTGGGAAGCAGTGAAGTGGATTCTCAGATGTATACGTGGTACATCCAAATTGGGTATAACATTTGGAAATGAGAAACCAGTACTTGTGGGTTACACTGATTCTGATATGGCAAGAAATAAGGACAACATGAAATCCACTTCTGGACATTTGATGAGTTTTTGCAGGGGGTGTATCATGGCAATCGAGACTGCAAAAGTGTGTGGTTTTATCCACCACCGAGGCTGAGTATGTGGCTGCAACATAAGCGTGAAAAGAACTATTATGGCTCAAAAGATTTATGCAAGAGGTTGGCTTTATGAAACAATGCTACGTGGTTCTTTGTGATAATCAAAGTACTATTCACCTTGCTAAAAATTCTATGTATCACAAATGAACCAAGCATATTGATGTGAGGTATCATTGGATTAGAGATGCACTTGAAGACAAACAGAACTTGATAAAGTTCATATCGATGATAATGGTGCCAATATGTCGGCAAAGGTTCTAGCAAGGAAATAGTTGAAGATATGTTGCTCCATCGCCGGTATGACGAACTCTTCCTCATAAGTCAAAAACAGGGAGGTTTGTTAGGTTTTTTCTTTGTTTTTGACCAATGAGGAAAGCCCAACTACTGAGCCCATTAAAGTCTTATTTAGACTTTCTATTTTGGGAGCTACTAATAATAAAGGTCAGCTACTATGTCATAAGCATAAGGACATAAAGAGACCAACAAATTGAGAGAACAAAAGTCACAAAACATGAGCTGAGTGCTCATCCCGCTTTCCAGCCGACAATAGTAGAAAAGGTATGTTTCCCAAAGATCGAACCGTTGGATCATCATGATTTTTGGACAGAAGCTACACAGCATCTGGGCTAGTGTTTTGGACGGTGGATATCACGTTTCGAGGTCCAGAGGTTGGGTTTAGTTTGTCAGGACGGTAGCTAATCTTATGGTTTGATATTTTTCTTATCTTGGCTCTATTTTCGATTCCATACACCTTGATGTGCTTACTTCCAAGGATATGATGATTTTGTATGCCTCTATTATTATGTAGAGAAGATTTTGTATTGCTCCTTTGATGATGATGGTGGATTTAAGCTGCCAAAATGGTCTCGTGGGTTTTCCCTACTGTATGGATTTCCACGCTAAAATTGTGGTGTCATTGTGTTGTTGTGTGCTTACTATTTTAGCTCAATATTTTGGTGAATATTAGTGGTATTTTGTGTGTTCTAATTACATTAAGAACACTCTATTTGTTTGCATCCTCATGGGTTTATTCGAGTTGGGAAAGTTTAGCCAATCAGAGATTAATTCCGCATTTATTTGTTTACCGTTTGTAGCTACTAGTAAACTCACCCGTGCGATGCACGGTCAGAAAATTTTGTTTCAATTTTTTGTGTACACTAATTCAAATCACACTATCAATTCATAACCGCATCTATCTCCATGGAATACTAATATAGATCAAAGCAATAAACGAAATACAATTATAATATTATGGTTAAAAGAGAGCACTAAGCATTATTTAAAAGATAAAAAAACAACCAACAAATACGTAGAAATCATAACATTGTAAATATGCATTTCATGTAACCCTAAACATTGTTGAATACTTCTTCAATACAACATTCCGAGTCTTGTCAGTGGTTTCTTTATCTTCTAAAAAATCTAATTTTTAAACCAGAACAATTGGTCACCCTTGATACCGAGATTTTGCCACCTCGGGGGTAAATACAGTTTTTTCAACAACAACCAACACGGGACAAAGATTGACATTGAAGTTTATTTATAGTCATAACATATGAAGTCATAAGAGGATACTGTCGCCTCTGAAATTTGAAAGGCAAGCTGACATCGGATGGGGTCATGGAAAATCTAGGAATTAATACTTTTTGTCCAGCACTCACACCTATTAAAATCTTCCCCTCCAAAACATGATCACCGAGCCTCGTTAAAATAAGTCGAGTCCCGTTACACAACCCCAATGAATGATCAATATTTCGCAAAAGCATCACCGGAGTCCCTACCTTTAACGTTAACTCATGATTCGGTACATCGGATAATTTTATACTTTTCAAGAACTCGAGTGTGTATTTTTCCTTTCACAAAAAATATATCAGATTCAATAATTTTTTATTATTTTCCCATTGCTGTCCATATTTCATATAAAAAATTGAAAAAAAACTTTTTTTGCTTAAATCTATTTTTGGCCGTTTTTTTTTTAATTTTACATATTCAATATTGGTATCATAGGAAAGATCATAAAAAATAAAAAATATTGATATAATTTTTGAAAAAATTTAATCAAAAATGAAAAAATTATAATAATTGAAAAGGTTTAAACAATTGTCATGCCATGTGACAGCGCAATAGGGTGGAGGTGATGTTCACCCTCAAAAGAGGGGGTGAACAAAATTGTTCTCCTCTTCGCCCACCCCTCTTCAATCAGCCCACCAACATTCCACCCATAACACTTCTTCAACCCTTCATTTCCTCCAAGCAAAAGACAATTGGCCCCAACCTCTCTCCAACCAAGCTCAACAATATTTCACTCCAAACACTTCTTCAACCAACGGTCGGTCAAAAGTCAGTCACGCATCTCCCCTTTCTACCGATTTTCCGCCAACATTTCAGGAGCCAATCATGAATCAAGCTCTTATAAGCCTCCTCCGTCTCGTATGCCTCATTCGCCTCATCCTCCGCTTAGACTTATTAAACGGTAAGAACACACTCCCTCTACTACACACAATCATCTCACCTATTAAACCTTTATCTTAAAACCATCCGGTCGGACTTATGTACAAATTAGCACACTCACAACCCACAGATGTAGCAGATTTGCTTTTATTACTACCATAATACTTAAAGATATTTTATGAATATGATATTTGATTATACATAGCGTTATATCATATACTCCCTCCGTCCCAAAATTATCTTCATAGTTACTATTCACACGATCAACTCAAATTACTCTTAAACTTTTACTTTATATATCAAACTTTTATGAAACTTAAATTTTTCTGATCAGCCTTTGTAGCGGATTCAATGTAGTTTCTGAATATGTAAATTTAATTTACTAAAAATAATCTGAGTGTGAACAGGGATCAAGTTGCTTTATCGTCAGTCAAGCATCGTAAACCGAACTACGAAGATAAATATGGGACAGAGGGAGTAGTACTTTTTTTGGAAAAATGATTTAATATACAAAAAAACATAATACGTTTTTGAAAAAATTATTTGAAAAAATTAATAAGACACAATCACGCTCAAAATATTTCTATAATAGATCTACATATATGCATTTAATAATAATAGTTACTTCAATTTTTAAAATTAAGTATCTGCATGTCAAATTAAATTCGATGTGAGGATTTTTAAAATCTATTTCTAAAAAAACATTTTAAAAATAATATTACTTAGATTTGAACAACATATGAAATGTATGCCATTTTTTTTTTGTTAAAAATGCACATAGAAACAAATTATTATGCATGCATTTTTCTCGAATTTCAACTTTTTAAAAGAACATTAATTGTGTGGTTTTAAAATAATTTGAAAACAATTAATGAAGAAAATATTGACTTCTGGATTTTTTTAAGTCTATACTCTGTACTTGCTTGCAAATATATGTCAAAAAAATTAATAATTTTTTTTGCAAATATATGTCCCGTGACATCAATGTTAATCCACCAGTCACACGTGCTGCGTCCGACCCTCATGGCCCCATTAAACCACCCCACCGACCTAGCCTCATGGCCACATCGGGATTCATTAATTACTCTGACCAAACCACCCAAACCGGAGAATTATAACCCAACCACCTAAACCATAAACCATTGAACTCTATCCTTGATGTGCAGGATCCCGATACACGTACTCTTGTCGCCCTTGCCTTCATGCCCAGGTGGTTCTGCATCAATCTCATGAATGATAGACCTCGTACCAACCATATTGAAGGTGTATATATATATTGACTTTTTTTTTGCTTTGTGAGCTTGATGATCGAGTGAATGAGAGAAATGTGTTATTGAATCTGTTTTTATAGCTGAATGTAAATAGGCATACACTGGGTACAACCCGCACCCATGATCTATTTTTTATGATGCTCTCAACAAAAAAAATCTTGGAATAGTGGGAATGAGATACATTAAATCTCAATCACTATTCTCACCACCCAAGTCCACCAATAGGAATAAAGCTAGATAAATAACCCAATGACTCACTATTCCTTGAAAATCTTTTGCTTTTATATATTAATAGATTTTTCTAATAAAAAATCTCACAGGTAAACAATAATTGTCTTCCAACTCAAAAGACAAGTGTTACCAAAATTTTACATTATAAAAACGACAGCTCTATTCAACAATGATCCAATAGGTATGCTTATGGTCAATCATTATGCTCGATGATCGCTGCCGGAAAAGGGATTATGGATTGAGCATAATGCGAGTCTTTTGTATAACGTTCGAAGATTGGTCGGATAAGTCTCTTGTTAATACGTTCTGTCCCCTTGAAGAAAGGAAGAACCAACCAACACATCACAAGCAACTTTGCCAGGTCCCACCCCCAAATCCTGATAATGATGATGATGATCGACAAAATAATTTAATAAATTAAGGATTGAAATCAACAATCATATTTGATATTGGCACGAACTTCACATAGATCGAAAGTATTTGACATGAATCATAACACAATAATTTGCGCACTGTCGTGCCACGTACATGGTGACCGACGACATTGGCACGGAATTTGACACGGAATATGATGTATACATGTCAAATCCGTGCCAAATATCCAATGAATTTTGAGGTATCAATGCCAAAGATTTGTGTCAAGTCTGTGTCAATATCGTTGTTTTTTGAATTGAACTAAAATCATTAATTGATCACTCACAATTCCACGAATTTCGGACATTGCATCTCAAAGTATGCAATGAAAAAATGAAGAAGCCAGAATGTCAACCATCGCTCCACATCATCTCTAGAGTGGTAATAGACTGCCCGTGTGGATAAGTACCTAGGGAAAAATATTTCCAATTATATGATAATCTAGGTTTTGTATGTACGGCCGACATAATTCATTCATAATAGTAACTCACCGGAGTGAAATATGATAACATACATTATTTTAAGAACGAAAAAACACATGGAATTGTATATTAGAAAAATACATCTTTTAGTGTAATATGAATGAACTAAAATCATACATTTACAAACTCATAGATTACTATTTATATTGAATGTCAAATACCTCATACCTTATGGAAGAATTAATTTGAATGTCAAATCCCTTATTATCTCCAAAAGAAGAGGTCGCAAGTTTCAAATCTCATCCCAATTGAACATGTTGACATTATTAAGAACATATAGTACAATAGGTTTAGAAAGATATTTCAAAAAAACAATTAAACATCCACATACATATCTTCTAACCTCAAAATCTAAAAATCTTATGTGTCATTCTTACTTACTACTTACCACCCATTTATGTTTGAAAAATGCTTGGTGTACACATTTTTGTGTACATTTTTTGTACATTCGTCTGTCTCACGCGGACAGAGTTGTCTGTTCACAAACAACTCTACAGAGTTGTCTAAGAATATGTACGTTTTTGTTGAACTTGGCAGGTTTCCTAAATACCATTTTCTTCTCTTAGTTGGTAACACCCCTATACACATCACATTATGGATATGTTTGGCCCATTAATTGAAAAGATACTTTTATACACTCTCTATTTTAAAGTTTGCTACACTTTTCTATTTAGGATGTATTTAAAAAGTTGATGCTTTTTTCTTTTTGGTGAATTTTTTATTTAAAAATACTCATTCACCCTTACATTTTTTACACTATTTATTATCCCTACTATTTCCCCCTTAAATATTGTGTCAAAGCTTAATGCAGTGATCTTAAAAGAAAGAAGCTTTAGCTTTTTGATAAAATCTAACCGTATAATTTAGTTATGTTTGCTATAGAAAAATGTTATGATTACTTAATGCAAAAAGATGCAAATTTTCTCTCAAAAGCTACTTTGTGTAGCTTCTAAAAAAAGATTATTTTTTTTTAAAAAAAAGCTCATGAGATTTTTGTGACAAATATACAACTAGAAGTTTTTAGAGACTCTTTAAATAGAACAAAATCTAAAAGGTTGGAACTTATATCTACCAATCATGCGCTTAAACAAGATCTTTAATTTTATAAAAAAAAACTCTAAATTGTTGTGAGAATAATAAATTTAGAACTTTTAGAGAGTTTTTAAATAGTACAATAACTAGAATGTAGAGATTTATATCTACCATGTACTATATATGACTATTTTGTTTGGTAATCTCCATTTCATTCAATTATTAGATTTTTTATATTAATAAAACTATAATTATTTAATAATACGAATTTTATCAATTTAATCATTTAATTGTTCTCTAAACATCTATGGTCCACTTATTAGGAACGAATTTGTGCTCTTTGGATTTTACCTCATTTTAAGGGCATCTACAATGGATAGCTATAAACATTGTAGCTTCGTTTGTCACATCACCTACTTATGGCTAATATATTTTTCGGCAATGTGATATTCCATCGGTTAGCTATAAGTCTATAATGCTTGCCTTTTGAATTAAATGTAAATCAACCAACTTTGAAAGTATACATTTTTAGTGAGTTAATTTTTTAATACAACAAAAATAATACTTATTTTGAAATTCTTTTAAATTGGGAAAATGTCATTGATAGTTTTAAATCATAAATAATAAGTACTATTATTATTTTAACGAGGATAATATGAAAAGACATATTTTTAAAATAAGTACAAAAATATGCATTTTGTTTAAAATTTAAGAAATAGGAAATATTAACAACATATCAAAAGTAAAAAATATCAACTTTTATTATTTAATTAGAAAATTAAACATTTCTTAAAATTAACAAAGCAAGTGTTGGAGCTTTATCCTTGCATTTAAATAATGTAGCTTTACAGTTGAATTTTATTTAACTTAATATATTAATTAACCAATAAATTAAATATATTTGATAATAATCATTTTGGTTCAAACATATCTCCATTTTAGTAAGTAGTTTGTATTGGCTAATTTGCTTGCCCAAATTAGGAAGAAAAATGCATTTCAATGATAGGCTAACTAACTTTCTCTCTAAAAAAAATGGCAGGTTAGCTAACTAGTAGCTTTAATATAATATATATTTTTTAAAATTACAAGTAAATCCCTAATTATAACCATTGAAGATGCTCTGAGTTAAAATTGCAAGTAAATCCCTAATATACGTTACTGAAAATTTAAATTTACTTCAAAGAACATTTGAATTTTTACAATAAACCATATTCGGAAATACTTCCAATCGGATCGGAGGTTTTCAAAAGTTAATTTTAAGTTATTTTAAAATAAATCTATTTTTTAAAAGTTAAAATAAAGTTGTCTTATAAGTTATTCAATACATCTCTATAGAACTTGATATCACTTAAGTTGATCTGGTTTTTATAAATCTATAGAACTTGATATCACTCAAGTTCACTATTTTATTTTATTTTATAATGAGGTTACTATCTATTATATAGAGTATATGTATGTATAGAAATAATGATCCTATTAGTCAGTTGAGCTGAAAATTGAAATTAATGGTCCAAATTTTTTAGTCATTAATATATATTAAATGTTATTAGTTTCAACCATATATTGAATCATTTGAAAAATTAAATCCTAACAAGTTTAATTCCACTTTTTATGATGAAAGTCTTAACTGTTAAAAACATAAATGTATTGAAGTTAAAAAAGTGACTACTTTTTGATGGAGTACTAGATGGGGTGTGAGTTTGATTATTGATGATATTCGAGAAATATCATCTAATTTTATTAGAATTACTTTCTCTCATGTGAAGCTGTTTGCGAATCGGGTAGCTCATGATTTAGCTAGATGTGTTGTTTCTTTGTCTGATCATTGCGTGTGAATTTATAATTTCCCTCCTTGTATTAAAACTTCATTAGACTTTGATTTTATTAATAATATTTAACTAGTTTTCCTTAAAAAAAGGTGACTACTTTTATAAAAGAACAAAATGTGACTAAAAGTTAATAAAATTGAAAGTACGGTATCTTAAGGCAAATGGTGTTAAGAAAGAACAAAGTAAGGTAATCAATTACTTACAGAGGGTAAACAATAGAGATGATAGGCCTGAAAAAGCAAGAACAATCCACATATTATTCCCAACTTTTTTCAGTCACCAAAACAAATCACAGCCGAAAAAAGTGTGTTTGATATGTGTGTATTTTCATACCTTTGTTTTCATATATCACTACAACATCAAAACCATAACATATATATCTGAATCTTTTCTTGATTAGAATTGTAAACTCCTTTCTTTACTTCCTTCATCCCATTAAAATGATTCTATCTTTCCTTTTCTATCAGTCACACTAAAATTATTTCATACGACCGTAGAGTATCAAATTTGATAACTTTTATATGATTCTAAATCGTTCTTATCGATCTCATTAATGACAACAACAAAACTAATCAATGAACTCACTTCGAACTATGAAGAACACATAAGTAAGTATAAAAACTTGGATTACTCCTCATATATGAGTGAACCATCTAACTAATTAAGACAGATCACATGTCATAACACGGCATATCCTTAATAGCGATTTGGCTCAGATAATAATACGCATAAAACAAATAATTTTAGAAGAGGTTTTTAAATAAATAAATAAAAAGTGTGCAATTTTTCAGATAAAGGGTGTGGATGCATCTTACAAAGCAAGATAATTGGTTATCACAACAATTGCTTGAAGAAGGGAAGATAAGCTGTCGTCGTTCGATCGCCGCCGCCCCATCTCGATTGATCTTTGAAGTATATATATGTTTTCTATCAGCTGTGTGTATACTAGCAGCTTGATAATTAGCTTTGTTCAACCACAGCTTGATCTTTAACCCTGGAAACTACTGCTTAGTAATGAAGTGAAAATAGTAAAGTTTGAATATGTGGGAAGAAAGTCAAAAAGCTTGTGAGAATGCATCATGCGCGAATGAATCACGGAGCATGAAAATTTGACCTTCATTCCCATTTCCCACCACTTGATTACAATTTACAACCCCGAGTTAATTCCACTTTTGTTTTTATGAGTTATATGTCGATTTCGGTTCATGTCTTTCACTTTGTTCATTTTAGTCACCTGGTTAATGCTTCTTAACCATTTGTGGTCCATTTTCGGCGATTTTAACCATCGGAAATATTGACGAAAGGTTATATATATATGGGTGAAACCGTGAAAACACAATAGTCATTTAAAAGAAGTGGTCAAAGACTAATAGTGCTACACTCTATAGGCATAATGGCAATACTCCTTCAATTCTTACATAATTGTCTATCCAAATGCAATACAAATTTTTAATGTGATTATTAATTTTAGTGAAATTAAAGTTAAATACAAACCTATGAATAATAGCTAGACCAATAGTATATGCTTACATCTCTAAAGTTAAACAAAAAATTGTACAGTTAGAACATATACCCTCATGTCCAAACAGTTGTGAGGTATATGTGTTCTTTAATATATAGTCAACGAGTATATTATATGTCTTGTGTTCTCTCAAATATAGTTCAAGTCGTATAAATGGTACAACCAATCCTGCTCTTTAATCTCAATCAAATTTTTTATCAAATACATAATTTTCGTCTCCAGACATGATTCACGTACAAGCTAGAGATTAAAGTTGCATGCAGTGACGGGTCCAGAAATTAATTTTGTCAAACAAGTTGAGGGCACTATCGCATAGATTGGTCTGGTTGGGTCATCAGGTGTATGAGTGGTCTATTCTGTCTAGTTTGTTCAAATTATTAATTTTAATTAGAAATAGATTATTCAATGTCAATTTCAAGCGACATACATCTATGAATTATAGGTCTGAACCCATTAAACAGCTCTAAACACTAATCTTTGGTTATCTGAAAGAAAAACATAATTTGGATTAGAAATGACTCGTCTTTGCGAGCACCGTTTCTGATTTCGGATTAGAATTCTTGTTATTTTTAGTACTATAAAATGGTCAGGATTACATATCATTATTACAATTTAAAACTAAGATCATGTTGAACGCTACACATTGTGTCACAAAGTTTGTTGGTACATGTTTCAAATAGGGATAAGGCTCAAATTGGACACAATGGTTTCATGAGAATCTCATATTGGACACTAAGGTTTTAAGTAGATCAAATTGAACACTATGGTTACATATGTATCTCATATTGGACACTGAAATTTCATAATTCGTAGTTTTTGGACACTCATGATTCTCTTCTTTCTTTAATAAAAAACGTTAGTCTTACATTTCCTTTCCTTTTCGGTGAAAGTAAACCAATTTAATTACATATATAATTTTGGAATATTTAATTTGAAGTTTTAGAATATATAATTTGATTTTAATTAATAACTTTTTATATTTAACAATTTAAAAATATATTTAGGATTTTTCATTCATATGATTTTTATGGAACTTTAAGAAATATCGATTTATTAAATTGATTTAAAAATATTAAAGAATTCAATTACATTATAATAGATTTTCTTAATTGGAGCATCTAATTATATATTCTAAATCTAAATACACAAATTAAGTTATTTTTATTTTTTAGGTACATAAAACCAAGAGAAAAAAGAATACTTATATCTTTCAAGGTGAAATCTTTGATGGGTGTCCGAAAATGATCAGAAAAACGTAAAATTTTATCAATTTGAAACTTTAGTGTCTGATATGAGACACACAAGTAACCATAATGTCCAATCTGGTCCATTTAAAACCTTAGTGTCCAATATCAGATTCTCAAACAACCATAGTGTCTAATTTGACCCTTATCCCTTTCAAATATAATAATACCCTGTCAAAAAATGAAGTGTGATTCAGGTTAGCTATTTTATCCTTCAAAAAAAAATTATTTAATACTCGTATTAAGATTTTTTATATCGAACTTTTATCATATGGTAGTATGCCAGTATGAAAAATCAAAAGGTTTTTCGGTCCAACACTATACATTTTTTATGTGTGATTTTTATGTATGATAAAAGTCTTTAATTCATTAAGTTCATCCCACATATTAGAAGTCTTGTCATGTATTTGACCTCTAACTTTAGGCAAACATTATTCATACTTAGGAAAAAATCATCAATGCCACTTTTCAAATAAAGTGTAGTGGCCATGTCAACAACATGTCTAACCGTAAGGAATTGGTACATCACAACTCCATGGTCATTCACATTTCTCACTACAATTGTTGTATGTTCTTCGACGAAACTCTTCCTGTACCTAATAGTTATTTCTTGTTCGGATAGGGAGAACACGAGTTTTTATCTTAAATACTAATACGAAATTTCGGAGTCGGAAGTGAGGGCAATTGCCCCCCGTGCCCCCTAGCTAGATCCTCCACTAGTTGCATGACTAATAATGGACACACGCATAATTTACTGGACTTAATATATTTTCTAATTTAAAGGTGTATTTATTATAACATTATATATAATATTGTATGATTACCATTCACCCTTACTTTATACACATTTTATCAATTCAGCACTAATCATACAACCCCATTTTAATTTTCTTAATAATATTATCATTCCATCATGATTTAATCCTAGGGGGCAGAAGTTGTATTACTTAAAGTTATTTCCGCTAATTTTGTGACCTTATTTAAAATGGTTTAGATATTGGTATAAACTATTAGTGTTGGTATTATTTAAAAGGATTTCAAAGTTTGCATGCCATATTTTGGACAAATTGGTATTTATACCCTATTTTCTCAAAATTTAATACTCTGTATGTCACTCAAATTTTAACATGTCCCCATATAATAATAAAAAAATTAATTGTGCATCGTATTCATACATGAATTTTTGAACTAATTGTTGAGGAAACACGACCCATTGACCTCCTCTAGAATCACGAGCTCATATCACTCTTGTACATTCACCCACACCCCACAATACAAAAACTCAATCTAACAATATCACTTTGTATAATACAATTGAAATGTACAACAGATATTTTACAAGTAAACAAGTAGCTCACATCACTCTTTGTATATGGGACTACTTCACTCTAGTCTCTCAAGGAGGCTCTCACTAACTCAAGAGGTCTCCTCAAGGCTCTCCCTATTTATACTAATCTCTACAAAGCTTCTCTAGAATTTTCTATGCACACTACACTTCTAGATTCTTCTCAGAAGTATCCACGAACTTCTCTAATCTTCTAGAAGGATCTAGACATCTCCACATTTCTTTTGAGTGTTCTACTTCCACACATTTCCACACGATTCTAGAGGATTCCACACTTCCCCAGAAAACTGTACAATGTTGTATAATATTTTACACTCTTCCACACGCTTCTAGATAATTTTAGCTCTCTCTAGAAACCTTCAGAATATTTTAGAACATTCAATACTTCTGTACACATATCTAGAGAATTCTAGACAGCTTTGTAGCCTTCTAGTATTCTCATGAACTTCTAAATAAATGAGGGAACCCAACAGTAATGCGGTGCATAAATTAGTTTTCTTGATAATATGGTGCAAAGCCTAATAATATGGTTCAAAATTTAACATGTCTATTAATTAGTCATTTCTCCTTAGTTTTATTATACTGTTTGTGTAAAATTTCATTTGTCTAATTTTAGCCACATAAATTCGTGAATTGGGTATATGTACTCTTTTGACATAGTTTGAGTAGTTTGACATGTATCTGTCTCCTTATACTCCGTAATATTTTTAGAGAAACGATTCAGAGCCTTGGGTTAATTCTTTTGATAATTACGGAGTATTAATTAAACATGTAACCCCTTACACATGTGTATTGTTTATACGGGAGGAAAAAGGCAAAAAATGAGTTGTTCACTTTCCATGGAATGATACTCTAAGCGGGTTGTATTGTATTAGGAATTAGTGATAAAATTTTTAAAATCCATGGATTTTAAAAGTTTAAGTTTATTCAATATGAACTTTTAAAAGTCTATAAAAGTTTACGTATATTCAATGTGGACTTTTAAAAGTCTAGGCGTATTCAAACTTTCGTTCATTCTTATTGACTTCTAAAATAATGGATTCTTATGGACTTTTAAGTCATTCTTACTTCAATAATTCTCTGCAATTATCTCTTCTCTTCATCAAAGATTTTCGTGGACTTTTCCATTGTCTTCTACTCGTCACAAGTACACATAGATCTGGTTGCATATTTGACTAATTATTTACCCATGATCACAAGCCGGCCAACAAGCCCTGATCTAGTATCCGCTGGGTCAGCAGGTGGCACTACAAAAAAATTCGCTAGTAGTGACGGACCGTAGTCACGGATTTGGTCCGTGACTAGTTAGTCACGGTTCTAATCACGGTTTAGTCACGGAACGTTTTAAAAAACAATAGTCACGGATTTGGCCGTGACTACGTCTGTGACTATAGTTAGTCACAGATGTAGTCCGTGACTAAAGTGTTGCGGCCAACCCAATTTCGCCTCCGGCGGGATTTTTTTTTTTAAAATTTGAAATTAGTCACGGATGGTTCCGTGACTAGTGCCGTGACTACAGTTAGTCACGGATACGTCCGTGACTAATTCTGTGACAAGTGCAAAATTGATTTTTTGAACGTTCCAAATTTAAAGTGCTCAAACAAATCGTACCAAAAATGTGTAGTCACGGACACATCCGTGACTACATCCGTGACTATAAGTTTTATATATTCAGCCTCCGCTTCATTCAACAAAATCACACCATCTACTCCAGATAGAATTCCAGATAGAATTGAAGGATGTAATCTACCCATCTCATATCATATTTCCTGTTTATGCAGATAAGGTATGTAATTAGCTACTACATTAGTTAAATTAATACTTAATTAATTAACGAAATAAATTCCTTATATTTAGTTACGTTAAACGTAGGTGTAATTTAAAC